GACTCAGAGTTTAAAATAAAAAGCCAATTTACCAATTTATACCTCCCTCGTGGTGGTCTCCATCATGTGGGTGCAAATGAACCTTATGTATTGAAAAGATACACTAATGAAAAAAGAATTGTAAAAGTTATATTCAAAATCCATTTTAGCCAAAGTCTTTCCTTTTCCTTCTAGCCATATATTAGAGACTGATAACCATGGAAACAGCAAACATGAGCTTTCCCAAAGCTTTTCTGTTGCTGGGCTTCTCAGAGTTTCCCTGGCTGGAGAGGCCCCTCTTTGCAGTGGTCCTGGTCTCCTACATCCTCACCCTTCTGGGGAACAGCTCCATCATCCTCCTCTCCCTGTTGGACTCCAGACTCCAGACACCAATGTACTTCTTCCTGGACAACCTCTCTCTTCTGGACCTCAGTGTGACCTGCACCATTGTTCCCCAGCTGTTGGCCAACCTCTGGGGAGCAGATAAGACCATTGCTGCCTGGGGATGCATCATACAGGCCTATATTTTTACCTGGACTGCTGGTGCTGAATGCTTCTTGCTGGCCATGATGGCCATTGATCGCTATGTGGCCATCTGCCGGCCCCTCCGGTACACTCTCATCATGCATCCCTGGGTCTGTGTGCAAATGGCAGTTGCCTCCTGGTCCATTAGCCTGGCCAATTCTCTGCTCCAAACCACACTCACCCTCCAGCTCCCCCTCTGTGGTCACCACACCCTGGACCACTTTTTCTGTGAGGTCCCTGTGCTCATCAAGCTGGCCTGTGAGGACACCTTTGCTAATGAGCTGACCCTGGCTATAGGAGCCATCCCAATTGGAATGCTGACTCCCCTAATGGTGCTCATCTCCTACACTTTCATTGCCAGGGCTGTACTGAAGCTGCCTTCAGCTGAAGGAAGGCGCAAGGCTCTCAGCACCTGCAGTTCCCACTTGCTGGTGGTCACCATGTACTTTGGACCAGGCATCTACATGTACCTCCAGCCTTCAGCCAAGAGTTCTCAGGCCAAGTTCATGTCTTTTTTCTACAGTGTTATCTCCCCAGTGCTTAATCCACTCATCTACACTGTGAGAAACCAAGATGTGAAGACAGCAGTGAAGAGGATCCTGCAATCCCAGAGTGGGTTTAAGTGTTTAAAAGCCAATGGTCTTTGTCTGCCATCTGTAGCAACCAAATGCACACCTGAATAAATACTGATATATCATGTCTGCTTTTCCAAATGAGCATCTATAAATTCAATGAAAATAGTTTCTTCCAAAATATGAGTTAATCTAATAACCAGAAAAATGTTCAGCTAGAAAGTTCTTCCTTCTGAAATCTAATATGCAGACGTTTCCTTTTTCTTGATCCTTCTCAAATATTCTTTCAGCATAGACCTGATGGGCTTCATGGTTCATTCATCTATGAGAGGAGACATCTGCTCATCCATTTTTGTTATACACATTATTCACAATAACCAGGCTGTGCAATAAAACTGAGTACTCATCAGTAGATGAGTGCAAAACAAAATGTAGTGTGTGTAAAGGAATATTATTTGGACTTACAAAAACAAGTTTTTCCATTGTGATAATATAGATCAAATGGAGAACATCAAAATAATAAGTAAATTAAGACAAAATGACAAAGATTACCTATGCTTACTCCTTAAAACAGAGTCATACAAGAAGTTACTCTTTGAGTTACAGAAAAGTTGACCTAAAAAAAATCTGTTGCCATGCCATGGCTTTAATACATTTTTATCTTTATGAAGTTATTGACATATTTTAAGTAAGCAATACAGTTACATTCATCACTGGGACCTTGTAGCTTTGCATGACTCATCTTGGTTCTTATTTTTCCCCATTTGCCAGCCTTCTTTTTACCCCATCCACCCTTCCCTGTTTACGAAGACATCATTTCCATGTTTTCCTTTTCACATATTTTGTTTTTCCCTTTTACCTTTCCCCTACCCTTCCCACTTCTTTACTCTTTTAGACCTTTTCTTCCTATTACACAATATTAATTATATATATTTGACCCTTATTTACACTTTCAGATTTTCACACCTGAGAAACTATTCAGTATTTACAGAAGTGGGACTTATTAATTTTTCTTAAGAGTATGGCCTCAATGTGCATTCACTTAGATATAAATGTCTCTAGTTTCTCTTTCTTTATGGTTGAGTAGTATTCCAACTTATTTAAAAAGTGCATAAACAAACAACTGGGATCTCATTGTATTAAAAAGTTATTTCAGTGCGGGAGAAATCACCGATAGAGCCAAGAGACAGCCTACAATGCGGAAATTAACAACTACTCCTCAGACAAAGGACTACCATCTAGAATATATAAAGAACTCAAAAAAATCAGGCCCCCCCAAATATAAAGACCAAATTTAAAAATGGTTGTCTGAAATGAACATACAAAGAAGTAAAAGTGGCAAATAAATATATGAAAAAAATTAGTATCACTGGTCATTCAAGAGATGCAGATGAAAGTAGCACTGAGATTCCACCTCACCCTAGAAAGAATGGCTGATTATCAAGAAATCAACCGATAACA